ATTATAATTATTAGTTTAAAACATGTTAAAAAGAAAAAAGAAAAAAAAACATAGATAACATGTAAAAATAAGTAAATCAAAACAAATATCAATTGAAAATTACAATGTATAAGAAATATTATTAGAAAAAATCATCAAATTTAGAAGAATTTGTGTTTTATGATATCAAAATCAAACCCTTTTGTGGATTGTCGAATTATAAATTGTACAACAGTCTGTTGTTATGGGGAACTGTTGAATTATAAATTGTACAACAGTCGAATAACTTTATGTTCTGAATTTACGTTTCATTTGATCTACTTGTTGTTCTTGTTATGGATATCTTATGTAATAAAATTGATCCACAAAAATACGGACTCGGGGTAAAATGGTCATTTTTGACATTCAGACTGTTTATTCAGCACAACAACCGAACAACAACTTATCTGTTAATATACAGAAAACTATATCAATACAGACAACTATATCCATACAGGTCTTAACAGAAAATAAACCGAACAGCCCCTATTTGTATTATGGAAACAGATGAGCTTATGCATACTGGTTTGCAGTATGGGGTTAAACACAAGCCACCATATGTAAATCCTTTTACTTAATAGTAATGGATTAATTTACCATCTTCCCCACCCAAGAATACTTACCCTGTGACTTTGGAAAAATGGATGATGCCATACCAGTAATGCCAATTGCATCTATGTTGCCACTTATATGAAAAGCATCGTGGAGGGTGATTTTCTTCTCTCGAAAACTTTCATTATGAACAACTTGTGTATAATAGTTCATTCATTATGAACATATTCAGGAGCAAGCCAATGTTAAAATATGCAACTAGTGTACATATAAACAGAATATGAATTAGTTAAATAAACTAGTTATTTTTAACCTTAATTAATAAATTAAAATATGTATTAATTTTTTTTAAGTATAATCTTTAGTATTATCTATACTATCTTATAAAACATTTGGCTAAAACTCTTAAAAACTCTTAAAAACTCTTAAACCCGTTCATCTCTAAACGATTTCATCCAATATCTGAATTCGTGTAACTAACTGCTGATAAACACAATCAAATACATGATAAACATCTCATTTTAAATATAAAAAATTTAAAAAATAATTAGTATAATCATTAAATTCTAACAGMATACTTAATTATTATCTTTATAAAATTTATAATATTAAACCAAAAATAAATT